GAGACTTCGACTCCCTAGTCAGCTTAGGTTTCACATTTCGAGTTTACCAAACCCTTTTTAGTAACGGAAACGTGGCAGTCTGTTAGGAGAAGTTTTCTGTTGTCTTTTCTTTTCCGATTTCCAGACCGAACAGGTTGTTTGTACTTATGTTTGTGCTTACAATTGTTATTCCATCTGCGTGAATTATATCAAAAACGTTTCACTGTCGATCTTAGTTAAAATCTGTGGTGGGTGTTATTTACCAAAGGTCCTTCGAACGAAACTCGCGTATAGCACGTCCTGTATTCACCAGAGGTGTCGCGCAAAGTTGCGTGCGCCTCAGAAGATGTAATCTGTCGAAAAACTAATCCGTTTTTATTACTGAAACATTTTCCACTTTTTTCTGTTTTTCCTACGAAACCACTAATGAAGTCAATTGTTAAATGATGTTGTTTTTATGCACTCGTGTGGCACACTGGCTAAAAGTACCCTGCATTACACAGGCGATCTTTGCTTCAACCCCGCAGCTCGGGTTCACCAAACCTTCTATTCGTCCAGAGTCAACGATCAGCGGTTGGACTTGTCTGGTTGGTTGCAACACTGACTTGATACATTGGTAGGCCATATCAAGTCACTTTATAGACCAGGTATCCACCTAATCACCTCTGATGCTTTGTGAAGTAGAATGGATGACACATCTTTCAGTGATTGGTCTAACATTTAATTTTTAACCTTGTGCATCACCAATTCAAAGTAGGTCGTACAACAAGATAAACAACTGTAGACGTAAACAAAATTTGGTGAGGAGTTATAACAAATGAGTAGACTATGAAGATTTCTCTCAAGCCGTTCTGAACTGCAAACGAATAGCTCACAGGTTGAAAATGGGCAACATAATGGCTCATAGATGGCTTTTTAACAGGTCATCAAAGATCATCAAAGGCTATTATCTAACTATGGGATAGCTTTAAAACTAAGTATTTTTAATACAACAGTTTCTAAGTGCTGGAACTGCTGAGGAAGCAAAAACGCCAAGAACAAAATAGTACTTAACTTCACACTCGCTAATCACCATAGTCGGAAACGTGCGCAATCGATGAAAATCCGAAGCGCTTTTTAGAACTTGGGAATTACACCAGGAAAACTCTATTCGTTGGACTATTCCGATCTGACAGATACTTACTTATTTGGTATTTGAATGGTCCGTCCTCACTGGTTGTGCGAGCCCCATCATAATCTCCATTTTTCGGAGATTTGCTGGTGAAGCCATTATGTTCTGTGGAGTCTCGAGGTCAGCCTGGCCAAAGTTTGGTCCAAGTCTTCACCGTCACAGGCAGTTGCAGTCCTTGTGAATCAGATGGAGATTTGCCGCCATGCGGCTAGTTTGATACCTGGACGGTGGCGGATGCTGGTATTGGTTTACTCTTAACTAGGTTTCCTGATGGAAACGCTGGACTCTTACCTTGCCAGAGGATGAACCCCTCGCTGTACATCGCAATCCGACACCCACGAACACCTCCTAGCCACGATGTGGCGGTAAACCGTTGTGAGGGATGTGTCGGAACTAGGGAAAAATCGTAACCCCCTACTGGTCCGTAGGTAGTTGTACATTGGCAATGTAATGAGCTAGGTGAGGGAATTGTAGCACATTTCCCTACAATTATTTGACGTTGTCTCCCTGTCTGCCAACTTGCGTGCTCTGAAACGCTGAAGCAGGCGAACTCAGAAGACAACTAGAGTAGAAGATGTCTCTAAGGAGATTTTTTATTCCATAAGTTCTACTCCAGACCAGGTCAAAATTTTAGTACTGATAGTACTGACTACTTTTCTTTGAAATTAAAAGCTTCCGGACATCATTTTATTCACAGGTTTTCGTATTTCGAGATCACATGTAGCCGTAAATGGTTTGACGTTGGTGTGGTGCTTGGGAATTCCAGATCGAATTGCCCTTCTGCTATTGAAGGCCATTGCCTTGACCTTGAAGTTGTTAAGCGCTTATTTCCTTGATTCATTGCTTTCAGTAATCGACCCACATCCTCCTTCCAACCCTGGATTGTGGGCCTCCCACGTTTCATGTTTTTCATTATTCTGTAGTATTTCTTGCTATTTCAACAAAATTCAGCAAATAGATATTGTGAATAGAACAGTTTTACATTTAAAAGTCTTAGTATTGATAAAAGGGTAAAGAATGAAGCTCCCGACGTTGATCAATCCCTGAGGGAAGAGTCAGGCATCCGACTTTATTAAACATCGTTAGGGCTGACTGAATACATGTCCGGTCTATATAATGACTTACGCTGGTCTACCAATGTAGCCAATTCCGGAGGGATGGAAGGCTTGCTGAGTCTCGGGTTTGGGATCGAACTAGGGACTTATCAATGCACATTGTTTTTATCTTTAACCACTGCGCTACTATGAGTAAAACATTCGACCACCCGAATTTTCCATGTAACTCTAACCGGCAGAATTTTCCTTCCGGTGCTATTGCACACTCGTTACATTTGTATCCTATTACTTGATCACACATCGTATCAAAGTCAGATTTTTTCTACATCAAGTCTTTCAGATAAGAGAGAAAAAAATCTATGAAAATTCTTAGAATGAGAAATACATGAAGAATGTTGGTTGAGAGACAGGCGAAACGATGGGCACGCATGGTGTGATGATGAATACGTTAGCCCCCGGAAAGGGTAATGGCGCGTTCATTCACCACCTCAGGCGCCCGCGGTCATCAAATATCTCAGCACCATTGTGGTTGTATTTCGCATAATACACTGCCACAAAGAATTGTAGTAAGCAGCAAGTAAGAAGTTAATATATGAAGTATGCTTTTTTGCAGCAATATTTTTTTATTAAGTGCTGTTGATGGCTGATGCTGCTGCTTTCGAAAGTCTTTGCGTCATTCACAACCGATTTGGAGTGAGCAGGTCGTCATTGGCACTGCTAGGTCGTTTAGATCCTTCTTTATTGAACTCCTTTCAGCGTAGTCCGTCCTTCCATGAGAACAGGAAAAGTTGTTTTTTTACTTCTATTTCATCCTTTATATTCATGGCGCAAGTGATAACGTTAATGTAGTTCGGTTAAAGACAGACAAGACGATGATGAGTAGTGAGTTTTGTGGCCGAAACCATTACTTCTACGAGGAACAGTTATTTTCTAAAGAATATCTACCGTAAGTTTGTCGTTTTCAAGGTTCAAACATCATCCTCACCAAAGTGTAAGCGGTTCTGTAAACAATGCTGGAAAAGTCGCACTCGTACCAATTTTCCGACTCCAGAGGGATTGGAAGCTTGGTAGGCCATGGGCACGGGGATCGATTCCACGTGTGTGTTGCAGGGCGCTTCCGACCGATACGTCACACGGGTCCCTACGACCCAAACGATCAACTGCGGTGATAAATGTCTAGAAATTCGTGAGAAAAGGATAATTTTAACCCTTTTTTGTTATCAACTGCGGTAGAAGTGTCGTATAGTACGAGGAAGTCCTATCCCAAATGATCTACAACCTCCTATTACTTTCACATATTTCACCTACAGCTCGTTCAGTTTCGTTCAGAATGGGTAGAGCGGTCACCAGTACATGAAACGTCTCCATTCACTTCTTTTCATAGAAGAGTTGTACTTTGCTGAAGAGCGTTTAAGAAGAATGAAACATGCATATGTGTAAAAAAATGGTTCTACTTTGTAAAGCAATTTAGTAGGAGATTTCGCTTGCACTTATATGGCTATTCGTATTCTTGTGTTCTTTAGAGACTTGCTTGAGTTCTTTTTCGTCGACTTGAAGAGGCTGCAAAAGCAAGAGAAGTGAAAATTTTGTAACATTTCTGTTTGATCAACAACGGTCAACAAATATTGTGATGGAAATTGTTCTTTCGTCGCTCTCGACCGGTCCGATGGCGAATCATCTGTGTTCATTGCGAATTAGACGTCGTAGCAGCACACGAACGTAAGCTGAAGCACTCTTAGAGCATCCTACTGAGAATTCCGATATTACCGTATTTTTAGTTTATTTTTTATTCTATATATTTTGGATGATCCGATATCGTGTACTATGCAGATCGTGGTACTTTTTTCATTGAAATCGTTTCGTCGCAACCACTACCCCTCCATCCACCGAACTGTTCGAATTTGCGGTTGTTCTCGGGTGCTGGTCGGAGATTTGTAGTCTTTTTTTTATAAATCTTGGTAAAAGTTCGTCGAGTCGACTTCTCTCCCTCCCCCGAATACTTGGATAGCTGTGTAAAGGCGTTGGTAGTCTTCACTACGGACGCTTGCCGTGCTTTATGGATAGAAAGTAGCTCATCCCAGGCAAAACTGGCACTAATTTTTCGACCATGGAGTCAGTCGATGTCAATATTTAGTCACAGCTGAGCTCAAGTTTTTTCTGACTAGCCTGATATTTTTTGAAAATTATCCCACTTATCGAAAGAAGGAAATGACTGAATAAACTGCGTTTTCCATATAGAACTCTGTTTTCGATCCATGAACGTACTGACTATTTTTATGTGCCTTCTACTTTTCTCTTTCTCATAATTTGCACACTTTTTCAGACTTTAAGTAGAATTGCTCAGGCGTAGGTTACCCGTAGAACCTGTAGTTCCGTCGGTGACCCAATAATTTGAGTGGGCAACTTCATTTGTTATTTACGCACACCGAAGCTCTTCGTCACCCCCTCTCATTTGAGCTACACGAAGGGCATCGCACTTTTCTAGACGAGGTCCTTGATTTTTAAGCCTTTTCGCGATAGGGCACATAGTGGTGCGTCAAATGGTTATCGTTTTGTGCTAAATATACTCACTGATAGTTTGCCGGGCCATTCTGACAATGCGTAGGATCCATAAGGAGCAACAAGCCTTATGTCTAGAATCTTCGTCAAGACATCTGACTAGGGGATCGATATTCTTCCTAATGCTCTCCGTAACAAACTTCAGGTCCCATAAGATACGAACAGTTCATTTTCAACGGATGTCGTTAAGACTCCATTCTTTTGCAATCCATTTGCGATTTTCGCCTCCTTGACGTATGCCTTCGTTCGATGAAATTAAAGATAAAGTAAATGATGAATGAGAGATTATAAGGCCATCGAACAAAATGAAGGTTGGAGAAGGATCGTCATCAAATAGAAATCATGAGTACAATCGTTTTAAAAATAAGTTGGAGCTATTTTATTCCTCAACTGTTTACTTCTATGAATAAAATCCATTTCTTGCTCTTTTTAACCCATATATCGGTTTTAAAAGCTTGTAAGAACTACTTAGCCTTTGTTCGCCTTTTCTTCACAAGGTTTAGCAAGTTGTTGGGTTTTCTGAAACGCGCTTTCTTCAGGACGCTGGCTCTACAATGATGCTGGCGGCCGTCAATCCATACTCTTCGTCATCCAGCAATCACTTCCAGATACAAGACGTCACCGATGATCCAGAGGTGAGAGTGGATTGTTGAATAACTGGTCTTCTTGAAAGTTTGTTTCCAAAACTGTGCTTTTTAAAATTGTCGGTATCAGTTGTAACGTCGCAGAAGAAGTAAAGCACCATTTCATGCGACAAGAAAGATATCAATTGGCGACGTGGCTTGTCAGGAAGTATGCTGAATAGCAATATAACATGGAATTCATTAGTTTTCAAAATTTAGCTCGGAACGTAACCCTGAGTTGTCTAAGAAATTTGCTGCTGTCTAAAATAATAGCATATGCAAAGAGTTTTTATGGAAACTCTTAGGAACGAAAACTGATCGAAATCAGGGCGGTAGTTGCAGTGAGAGCAGTTGCTGCTATTTTTGAAGAATCTCGTTCACAAAACAGGCAACCCATTTGGGCCAAAAAGTGCCAGCAGTAAAGGCGCACAAATGCCTACCATTGTCTCGTGCCTCTGTTAAAAGTCACGCATAGCTAACATTTTACAAATCAGTGAGCTGAGGAAGCAACAGATCCTCAAGACTCAGTCGGACCTACGCGCAAAATAACTCTTACCCCTCTACAGATAATAGATGTAAGAAACGGAACTATCAGAAGAAGGATTGGGTGTCGCAGAGCCTTTGAGACGAGTCATCTACTAGCATATACTGGACGTAACGGAATGAATAATTAATCATTTCCACTGGATTTTCTTAGTCTGGCTTTGAAATGTGCAATAGTGGAAGAAATCTAGAAGTCTCCTAGAAGGAATGAAAGACCTTTTGTTAGGAATTATCGCTTGAACTGGAAATGGAATATCAAATTCACCATCGTTATTGAGCGGGGAAAAAACCTTTGACGGCAAGTGTTGTGTTAAAAGTGGATGTTGATGTTGAGAAAGAACTTTTTAGAGTACTGGTGTTATTAAACGACACGAAGGTCTTCAGTGAATGCATTAATTTAAGAGAAGACTGAATTGTTTATGTTTTTCTTGATTGCAGAGAAAATTATATGGAATAAAAACGAAAAGAAAGTACTTTGCCTCCGACAAGGAGTGATAGTTTAGGAAAAGGAAGGGGTTGTAGGAGTAAGAAGCGGGAAAGAAAAAAAAAACAAAAGATAACGAAAAAGTGGGGAGTGATATTAAAAATCCGCAAATCTGGACTTACCGAAAGTCATCTGTTTTTATCTCGTCTATTTTCTAAAAGTAATCCATTTTCTCCCAACGGTTTACCGCCTCATCGTGGCTAGGAGATGTTCCTGGTTATCGAGCTACGATGTACAGCAGGGGATTCATCACTCTGGCATGGTCTCCCAAGCTAAGAAGGAGTCTGGCGTTTCCATCAAGAATCCTAACTAAGAGTAAACCAGGTTCCACCACTGTTCTGGTATCAAAGTCGAATGGTGGCAAATCTCCCTCTGATCCACGTGGGCTGCGAATGCCTGTGGTGGTGAAGACCTAGGACAGACTTGGCCCAGGCTGACCTCAGGATTCCAAGGAAGCACACTTAATTAACTTGCAAATCTCCGAAAAAGTGAAGATTGTGCTGGGGCCCGCACAACTAGTGAGGACGGACCGTTCATGTATCAAATATCAAGTATCAAGTAGTCCATTTTATGTCGAATTTATGGAAGTTGCTTTATCACTCGGCAGAGTTGTCAAATGGGTTCTGTTTGCGTTAGGAATACGAAAAGCATCCATTTTCTACTCACGATTTTCATCAAGAACTCTTCATGTCGGCGATTCTCTTGTTCTGCTCTTGCTCTCTACCGACTTGATTTTCTAGATGTTGCGTATGCGGAGACCTGTCTGATCTCTGAACACCAACATGAATCGGAATTTCCCCATTCCCTCTCTTACTTGTGTGAATTAGAATAGTTTTAGTACCATTTGGATAACCGGTCTTATAACGGTGACTACACACCTTTCCTTTATGTGCTCCTGTTTTCTGAGGATCACCAAAGAGAAGAACTGGAAAGCGAATAAGCCAGAACGAGATGTTTTTTGTATTTTCGTCGCATCCCCTATCCTCTTACAAACCATCCAATCCGCTAACTTGCTCCAACTCGTCTCTGAAGCTTGTTCTTATGTCGTGTTCATTTCATAACCCAAAAATATAATATAAGAACATACCTGGTATAATCTGAGATATTCCTTTCATTAGAAGAGGATTGATTCTAAGAAATAGATTTGCTCCTCCATAATACTTTCCTCATTATCCGTAGCCTTGTGCCAGTTTTCCCGCTCATGGCGTCGGATTTGGCGGATAATCCGCTCCACTTGGTAACTTGATGGTATTCTGAGAACGATGCCAATTAGGAAATTGGTGATTAGTAGCTGTCGGTCCTCTGCTATAGTTGGTAGTTGACTGCATGGCTATCACAGCGATACGTTCGCTTATCCCATCGAGGGTTTCCGAAGGCTAATATCCCTTGGCTTGAAATTACGAGCTCTCTTAGCAGTATCGTGAGGGTGTCAAGTGAGTTGAATATTCTCTGTCCATTTTGCCGGAAGAAACACCTTGCATAAACGATGATGTCTCTATCTAATTTAGAACCTAACAACATCGATTTCGCGAAGCCTTCTATTTACAAAGAGCATGAAATATGAGCAAAACTCCGAGGTTCCAGTAAGGCTGCAGCCTGGTCTTACCCTTTTCGTGGGTCATGTGTTATCTACTGCACCAACCGAAGCTCTGCCTTTCTCTTCGCCATTTGTTTACTTTAGTGTTGCGATCAGCAATCATCTGTCAACGGGTATAATCTGAGGAGCACAATTCTCGATATCGAACCCGCTTAAGCTGGAGACGCTGTCGAAGTTAAAATGCCTAACTTTTATTTCCTGTCTGTCATTTTGAATTTTGGTCATAGCTCTGCATCCTTGCAGTTGTATTTCAAATCATACTCTGCCACTGAAAAATAATAGGAAGTAAATAGAAGCTAAGTCTTCTATTTACCTTTGTGTTACTAGGCTCACTCTTGTGTTGGCCCCTTGGACAGTCTGTGGACAACATGGGATTGAGCTATTTTCGAAACATGAGTTGGTCGATGTGATGAAACTAGTCAGACTATCACTGTATTAGTAGTCTTAGTTGTTCAGCTGGCATCAAAGTCCAATTTTAAATAATAAACGATAAAGCTCTCGGCGTGATCAATCCCTGAGGGATATGCCGTGCATTCGACTTCATTCAGCATCATTTGGAGGCGATTGAATGCACGTCTGGCCTTTACAATGGCTCGCGGTGACTACCGATTTATCGATCCAGTGCTGCTATCCTCCCAGACAAGTCTGGTACCTATTTACCGATTCCGGCGGGATGGAAGGCTTTGTGGGCCATGGGCGCGGGGATCGATTCGACCTATGTGTTGCAGGGCGCCTCCGGCCACTGCGCCACACGCGACCCTGGTTAAATTTTATATCTGTATAAACACATCTCATTGGAATTTTCCATTAGATTTCAACAACATCAAGGGCTTCAAGGTTTCAGCAGGCTTTCATTAGTTATCTCTTTTGCATTGTGGTATGTACTTTTTCAGAAGGAAAAAAGAAAGGTTCCATTCTATTCCCTATTTTTATAATGGGAAATCAACCAAGCATAATTTCTCAGCAGTGCCATGGAAACGGATGTGTATTGTGTGCCTTGCAGAGCTTTCCTCGACTTGAGATTGGCTTTTTTGCTGAAGGCGATCTCGCGTCACTTCTCATGTCCTCTCTAATTCTGAGTAGGACTTGCCGATTTTTATGGAACTGCTTTAAAAAGAACGAACTAAATTTGTTTATAGGAACAATTTTATTTAAAACTCGCTTTCTGTATGATTGAGAAAACAGTGGTTTACAAAATTTGGATGATTTCCTTCATTAGTCTTTGAGCTGATAAGGAGTGCAAGCCAAGGAAACTAGTTTCCTAAGATTTTTGAGTCCGTTGCTGATGGTCACAGGACAAGAATTGGCGTCAACTCACATCTACTTGCCTCCCGTTTCATTTTCTGAGTTTCCTGGAACTTCTTATAATCTACTGGAGAGGACTGTCTTCCAACACGTTTTGAGTTTGAAAGTCGGAGCACTATTCTTTCACAAACTTGCACACGTTTTTTAAGAAATGCTTGTAACATTTTGCGTATAACAAACGTTGGTTAATAAATCTAGACATATGCGCATAGAAGAACTAAGTGCAGAAACGATGGCCCACCCATTCCCAACGTACTCCACTATCTCAGTTCAACTACAGGGTCGCTTCTGATTGACTGACGTCTAATCCCTATCATGCACCCTGGGGATGCGTTGCGTGGGCTCGCGACGAACTGGATCATGATGACTCTGAGGGGAATCTGCTGGACGGATTTGCCATAAGCGAAGTAAATTCCAAATTTCATGAATGTATTGCTATGTTTAGAAAGGTTTTCATAGGAAAATAGACGAACCGTTTGAAGAGTGAGCCCGTATATATCATGATTCTGTCTTTTGACGCATGAAAATACCATACGTATATACATATACGTATATATATATATAGATATAGATATAAATATGTATATATATAAAATGAAGGAACAGAGCACTCGGCGTCGTAATTAAGCATTGTTAGAGGTGGCCGTATGCATATCTGGCCGAAAGCTTGACTTGTGGCGCTCTACTGATGCACCAAGTCAGTGCTTCTAACCATCTATGCAAGCCTGGTACCAGTTTGCCAACCCTGGAGAGCTGAGAAGCTTGGTGGGACCGTGGCGCTGTATCGAGCCAGCGACCATTTGTGTATCACAGGACACCTCTAAGCACTGCTCCACGTGCTCCATATATGTACATATATTTATCTATATGTATCTATATGTGTATATATACATAAACAGCATTTGCGTAGCATGTTTATATTTTGCATATGCTACTCAGGATATCTAGGGAATCATTTTTAAACGAAATTATTTTGCAGTTCATTACTATTTTCACGGTATACTGTATAAATTGTCTATAGGAATGTGTTCTTGCAGTACTCATCGTACGGTAATGAGGACGAAGCACCGGAAGAGGGGGCACTGGTCGAGTACTGCAGATTAGATAAACGGAAACAACCCGGTGTTCCGACGATCTGCGATGCGTCGACAGTTGTTTCGACCACGACCCGCGCCACGTTGCAAAAGGTACGTCTTTTTTCAAACAGTGCTCTCAACCACAACCATTCCCATCTTTGTAAGTCAAATAGTCAAGTTTTTCTACGATAAAATATGGACGGTTTTTAGTGAAATCTACAAATGCGTTGCGTGAACCAACAATAGAAAGGCCAACCATAATGAGAGTATCTAAGCTTTTTTGAAAACTTTTTGGCTAAAAACTAGGTGGTTTTGCTGCCCAAATAAAACTCCATGAGCGTTTAATGAGGCACTTGGAAAGAATCGAGATTTCATTGTCTGTCAGAGTGGTTATAGAGGTGATTCTATTCCTGAGCGCGACTTTTCTGGGCGGGTTATTTTATTCCTCATCAGTTTAGACGGTTGAGATACTCGGTTTACATTTATTCCAATGATGAACGATTTACATCGTTGGAAATTTTGGAAATGGCTTTGGATGTGGCATAATAATGTCTTCAAACACGCGACACATAAAATTCTTTTGTTGTGTGCTAACAAAGCGGCAGGAGCTCATTCATCGCAAGACGTTCTTTGTAAGTAGACAGATCCAAACTTGAGAGGGAACCAATAGTACAGGCATTGCGTCAAGAACACTGAATTTCCGTGCTGATCGAAAGTTCATCCTAGAATCTCTGTTCTCACTGTCGTTGGCCAATGTAATCTGTTCTAGACATTTCCATATTTTTATGGCTTTGTTTTTATGCTGCGTCTTTCCAAATTATCCCTCAGCTTGGCGCTTTATTTATCTTTATATTTCTTTTCGTTTCTTGAGGATCAACAACCAAGGAAGTCTGTTCATTACAGAAGTCCTTTTATTAGTTGCTGTTTTACGTTTTCTCTTCATCTTTTTCTTGTTTCTCTTATGATATTTTTTTCTAGGGTTTTAAGCAAGAAGTGAAATACATTCCAACTGGATCAATAAACTTCCATTCAACACTTCTGAAAGGATGCTTTCCGGAGATCTCTGTGTCTGTCCATTGAGTTTTCGGCCGCTTTTCACAATTTTCGACGACTCCACTGGCCGGCGCTAACGAGGACGAATTGTTTCGTTTGTTCGCCGTCGTCACTCAACCCTCGCAGGCGGAGGCTTGGCGTCTAAGAATACATGACAATTGGCTTCTCAGTCGTCTAAGCCCATCACTACTGCGTTGAGATTTCAAAAAACGAACGCATTAATCGCAGACTGAGTGTTTACAAGAAATCGTTGTCTCTAGTGGACTCCATCTCGAGCACCCCTGCATTTCTTGCGCTTTCAAATTGCGATGGATACTTTTGCGTGGTTCGTTGGGCTTCACATTTCACCACGGTATCGTAATTATAGTAGGACATCGTCGAATTCTGCTACTCGATCCGTCTTTCATCGGAAATTGCTCTGCCCATCTCTGAATCCGGATATGATTCTATAAGTCTCAGTTTTCATGCTAACATTCACTTAATTCCTAATATTATCTTCAAGCTCACAAAACTACCTTTCATTCCCTCATACCGCCGTACATTTTTACTTAATCTCATTATCAGTGAGTTGTGTAAGCACTCTAAATGTCCACTAACACCTTCCTTATTAACGGTTAGACCACACGATAGATACGAATCGCTGGGATATCTCTCGATCATCGGTTGCGAGACACGGATCCACAACTCTCATAGTGCCGACTTTATGATGAGAATCTCATCTCATCTCAGACGCTTGTCATGTTGTTGTTTAGTCATCATTGAACTTCAGCTTAATGGTTTTAATATAGCGCTTACTTTTTACCTCAGTTACTGCATTTTAACCTTTTAGAAAAATTTTTCCAATATATTAAAAATCCGCTGTAATCACAATGATCGCCTCCTATGCAACACGTTTCCGTTCTAGACCACGTTTTCTCTACCACTCATTGAAAACTTCGGAGCTGTGATTTCGTTTCTTTGCTTTCCTATCCTCCTTTTTACAATCCCTATCTAGTAATTTGGCCAAGTATTTGAGCCCTCAATATTCTTTCTCGGATTCACAGGTATGCACTTAGTTTTCTCTGTTTGATAAGCTTATACAAGGTTGATAAGCATCCGACTCGGATCATCGGCTATGATGAAGAGGAAGACGTCGAAATGTTAGCGGAATAAAAACAGCTCGCCAACCTCGTGTAAGCTTATCGAGGAAAGAATACATATTGATTAGTAATGCAGAGGTTAAGAGGAAGTCTGTTTTGAAATATTGTTATGCACTTAGTTATTAGAAAGGGTACTCACACGGTTTCGCAAATGTTCACAGTCATAATTTATTAGGTTTTTCTTTAGTGTACACATGTTGAATGTAAGAAGAATAATTTAGAATCCAGTGAACAATTCATCTAATTCTCGCTGATTTAAACATATTGTATTCTTAAAGTGTATCTGGAAGGGAGCAGATAACACAATGGTAGCGATGTCGGTTATCACGAGCATGCCCCTAGCTCGATTCCGCTCCGGACCAACTAGGCTTGTCATCCCTCCTGGGTCTGAAGATTGGTACCGAACTTTTCCGGAAAAAATCACTCTATGCAATCCAAATGGGAACGCTCAAGCTCGGCTATCTCAGGACTAGGGAAGATCGAATCGACTAGCATTCAACGACATTCAGGATAAAATGAAATTCCTCAAGCAGCAACCGAAGTCACATGTAGAAAATATGGAAAACCTTCGTGCATAATGGATGCGAAGAAACGAGTCGTATGTGAGAAGTGCTGGGATCCACTCAGTGACGTGATGGTAACAAAGAAACATGAAGAGCTATGAGTCCATAGGAAAATATGCCTTCATTGAGACGCTGTGTAGCATTTGCAGTACTCCCTTCATCCGTGGCTCCCTTGCCAGCAGAGGTATCTTCGTTTTTTCTTCACTAGTAACGGTCTCTGTGTCTTGACGATCAAACTCATCCAGGAAAATATTTTGTAAATTATTAAATGTAAAGTACGACGTCAATAAATGGAGGAGGAAGCGCACCGTTTGAGATGCCCTTCAGTAATGTGCGCAAGACCGTTTGTCTGCACCCACTTAAGCAAATGAATTCTCTCATAGCTCCGGCAATGGAAAATTACCAGACTTTTTTGCGAAATGCTTTTCCAGATTCACAAAGGTTGGCAACTGCACGTGGTGCAGATCTAGGAACGTCTTGGCACTGCTATCCCAGGACTTTAAAGAGAATCTACTGGACCCCAGCATTCAACAGCATTCGTAAAGAAGACGAAAACCCTCAGGTGCAGCTGAACCCATCCACAAAGCGCATCGTAGTCGATGGATGCGAGGAAACGATTGGACTAGAAGAAATTGAGATCTGCATATTATGCGCTGTTGAGTCTTGTAATTAACCAATATTGACAAAGAATTTAGTTTTTATTTTTCTACGCTTGGTACAATATTTGTGGAATGAAAGCTACCAACTGAATACATAAGTTATGGAAAAGAATTTGTAGGGATAATGAAACCGAAGTAAGGTAAACGCACCGAAATACTCGCGCATTGAAATCAATGCGCTTCCTCGCGAATGCGTTTAAAATGAGTCACAAATACCGTAAATTATCTCAGTAAAACCAATGGACCTCAAAAATCTGAAATATTAGTGTTATATCCAAAAGACACCGAGAAATTGAAAATATCAAATGACACCCCGAACGGGAATCTGGAGAGTTGCTGTAGCATCGGGCTATCGTTGCGCTGGATAAAGAGAAAGAATGAAGCATAATAAATTTAAAACCGTATGACGCCGAGATTTTTTTTTTGCAGAACTTGGAAACTAATCCAGATTCGCAGCCACGGTTACCCCTTCCAGTGTCTCACGTTTTACCCACTGCACCACGTTCGAATCCGGCCTATGGTCCAAGTTCTGCAAATGTCTCAACATCATGCGGTTGTATTCACGTCGTATCCTGCCGTAAAAAATGATAAGCCGAAAACAAGAAGCTAATTACAGTAATTTTATAATTATTATTACTCTAATTGGGCAAGTACGTAAGTGATTAGGCCAACCATCAGTTTTATAGCATCTTGTGGACAAAAGATACGTCTTAAGGAATCTCTTCTCTATTCCTCTAATTATATTTGTAATCTTTAAATGGTCGTTTTTATTTTGAAGCACGACGTGACCTCTATGGGAGTCATATGATACGAAAATAATGGTCAATATATCTAAGCTTATACTGAATTTGTTACGTCTAATAATAACAGACTCAACAAGCCTTTTCCTACAGAATGAAACTTTTCTTGTCCCGCCATGATAAGGTTTTGGTTCCTCGGAATTCATAACTTCTGATTCTCTCACTTTATTTCTTCAAGGCTCATATTTCGAACAAAACCTGAAGGGATGGAAAGCTCGGTTGGCCGTGGGCGCAGGAATCGATTCGTGTGTTGCAGGGCGCCTCCGACAACTGCGCCAGACGCGCCCATGCGCGATGATAGAGTAGAGTATGTTCTTTGAATATGCAAGGCTCCAAAGTCCTGAAATGTCCTAGTGGCCGTGGAATTTTCGTCAATTTTAGAAAACCAGCTTTATCGCGAAACGATTGGTGTTACTTGCAGCATTATGTGTCTTGCGAGCTTGTTGTTATAAATCCATTTACCGAACTTCTTCGCTATAGTGGGTATGAAAGTTGCTCGAGCTCTTAGTTAACAGCTCTTTCTGGTAGAATTTCTCAAACTCAAACGAATTTCAAATATGCTAGGAGAATGTTCCAGAAGAGTCTGGCTAAGCTGGCAAGTTGTATTTGTTCCACCTCCTGAAAGTCGAGCTGTTTTTCTCTATGCTGCGATGACGAATAGCTTACACTAATTTTATCGTCGAGAGTCCTCCAGTAGAGAGTCGCTAATCGCTACGGAGTCAAATTTCGGCCACCGCCGAGATCAAGTTCCCCACACAGTGGCGTTTTTTTGAGTATCAATTTTCTTAAAAATATTTGTACAATCCTTATTGGCCAGTTAGGTAGTTATCGACAATCAGTCGGCCACTAGGCGACATCTCTCTCTGCTCCCAAGCACCACCGATCAGTTTGTCATCACTGGAAGGCGTCCGTCGTTTGATGATAAACCGTCTCTTCGTCTGCTGTTGGCCTTACCAGAGTCTCGAATACGTCACCTCATCATAGCAAACTTCGCAGTAGTTGTCATTCACACGCTGTTCGTCGTATCTCTGTTAATAACAGAATAAATAACTCAATTAGCACGAATGGCGAACAATAAAGGGAACGCCGCATAGCGAAGAGAAGAGATTCATTTGAATAGCTTACATGCGCAAATCACACGACAATGCCTCATCATCTTTATCACGAGAATTGTACTTCTGAATGGGTTCGCACTCTACGAAGCAGTTCGTCATCACCAACACACTGCAAAAAAGCGGTAAGAAAGGTATGTGCTGTTAGACTGTTAGACTACCGGACCATTTGAGGAATTAGTACGACCTGAGAAGTAGTTGCATAGTAGATTACCATAGATTTCAGTAGGGCCTTTTTAGATGCCTAAGCATGAACGGTTTCTCTGAGAGCTATCCACAGCATTGATTTGATGACCGACGATTTTTTCTCTCAAAAAGAAATTACATCCTCCTCTGAAAACGCGTTTAAAGAAAATTGGTTGGAGATGCTCTCTAATACTCACTGGAACTCACCCTAGTTCGATTCCGCTTTCCGGAGTCATCAAACGTTTCATTCCCCCGGGGTCGACAAATTTATACCAGACATGTGTGAAGGATAAAAGACTTACTTGACACATCGACAAAAGACCAAGTGTTATTTTATAGACTAGTTATTCGTTTATTCACCTCTGCTTTGTTTGAAGAAGTTGAATCCATTGCGCATCATCTAAGAACTGATAAATACCTGACGCTTTACCCTTCCCTTACCCTTCGGCTATTGTTGACAACGAAAAATGTTTAACGAAAGTTTTCATCTGCACGTGATAGCGATCCATTGATGTGAGCCATCACTTGATTCGTTCAAAAGGTCCAGGTCCTTGCCGACGTCAATGCC